TTGCAGTCCCAATCTCAATCCCATAGAACATCTATGGGATATGATGGGAAGACGTCTTCGAATACGAGTACCCGTCCAAACAACTTGGCTGAACTTACAGCGGCTCTTCAACAAATATGGGACCAATTGGATCAATTTGATATCCAGAGGTTAATTACCTCAATGCCTAGACGTGTACAGGCTGGTATAAGGGCCCGAGGGGGAAACACTAGATATTGATTTATTATCAATGTTTTTCTTAATTTCAGAAAGTTTTGAATATTCTTGTATTTTTGAGTTTTTCCGTATGTCTCTATAAATAAATGATTTTGTTGGATAATCTGTAAAAATTATTTTAATCTAACATATAGTTTTACATATATACACTTCATCTAATTTATATAACGATGCACGTCATCGGCGTCATAGCCTGTGACGTCACATGATACCAACACAAAATATTTAGGGTCTAGGTGTGTTCTTTTTTAGAATCACTTTACCGAGTACACTGGCATTACAGCCACTAGACATATTTTATTATATACGCGTAGAAATAATATTTAAACATTTCTATTAATGTTAACTTAAAGAAATACACATTAATATGTTTCATTTAATTTGTATAAATGCATTATAAAGCGTTTTTATCAAGAACATTTGTTCGGAATACACTGTAACTGTAATCGAACGAAGGTAAAATTTTGGCATAAATTGGTAACACTTATTTGACAGTTGCGGTGTTGACACTTTTTGTACTTCATTATTTTGAATTTTAAAGTGAATATCTCTTGTTTTAGATTTTTACCTATTTAATAAAATCTGTTCTTTTTAGAACAAAATTAGTGTGTTTTATTTCAAAAATGTCACGTAAGAATTTAAATAGTCGTTATAAAGAGATGGTAATACTTTTGCAATAATTATGTAATCTATTTGAATTAAAATGGAGTCAGGATTTTTTTATACTTTGGCAACTATGTCAACTTCGATCCCTGACGTAGATAATGACGTAAGTCGTTATCTAAATTAGATGAAGTATACCTGATTTAAAACTAATATCTTCAAACGTTTTCTTTTTTCAGCAAATAATACCCATGGATTGATTTTTTTGCACCTGCGTGTATATGGTCTCCAGTGTATAATCATCTTATTCCATCTGTTGTCTTTCTGTCTTATGGTAGTTCTTCCATTTTATTTGTTATTAATAAAATGTCGTCTGCATATCTCAAGTGATTCAAGTATTGGCCATTTATGTTAATACCCCGTTTTTCCCATTGTAATTTCCTCATAACATCTTTCAAAGCTTGATTGAATAGTTTGGGTGATATTATATTCTCACCCTGTCTGACTCTTCGCCATATCTTAATAGGCTCCGTTTGTTCAACTATTTTGATGGACGTTGTTGCTTGATCATATATACCTATTGCAAATTAAGTCTTTAAAAGAGTTCTTTACTGCCCAATGTTCCACCTTATCGAATGCTTTTTCAAAGTCTACAAATGCCATATACATTGGGATTTGATATTCGTTGGACTTTTTAATTAATATTTTTATCGTAAGCAAATGGTCTCTTGTACTGAATCCTTTTCTAAAACCGGCTTGCCCTTTTGACTGGTAATTATTTAACGTAGTTGTTAATCTGTTTGTTAGTAGTTTAGTTAACAGCTTGTACATTACATTAAGTAGCGTTATGGGCCTATAGTTTTCAGATCTTTTCTATCGCCTTTCTTAAATAGTAATAGTGTTATTGCTCCGTTCCATGTGGTGGGTATTTGTTTTGTGTTCAATATTTTATTCATTAGTACATAAAGGACTTCCATTGTAGTTTTCCCCCCATTTTTTAGCATTTACACAGTTATTTCATCTTTGCCAGGAGATTTGTTATTCTTCATGTCTTTGAGTGCCTTTTTTATTTCATTTTTACTGATTTCTGGTTGTAGGTCAGAGTTAACGTTCTTTATTTTCAGTTGTAACTGATTACGGATTTCTTGGGTTGGTTGTTGTTTTGTTTTATAAAGATTTGTATAATATTCGTGCGTTATCTGTAAAATTTCTTTTATATTGTTGGTCTCCACTCCTTTGTTCTTTATGCTATTAATTTCTATGTTTCGCAGGTTCTGCTCGAAGCACTTCATGTTTCTATTTTTTTTCAATAACCTTCCTAATTGAAACTTTATCAAACAGTCAGTCTGTCATAAATAAAATATCACCTATTCAAACATGTCAGATCAAAAGTAACATACCATGGTTTGATAATGAAGTTAATAGTGAAATTAAAATTAGGGACAAATTATACAAAGATTTTAAAACTGGTAACATAAATAATAGAAATGCCAAATGGGAGGATTTTAAAAGAGCAAGAAATGTGGTTGTTAATATGTTAAAAGCAAAAAAGAGCAATATTATTTTGATAAAGTCGATAGGTATAAAAATAACTCTAGACTTATGTGGAAAACTCTAAAAACACTAATTATCAAAAATTCCCTTATCGCATTGAATTTAAGGTTCAGAATCAGTTATGCATTCTGAGTGACAACGTTGAAAGGGTGTGTCAGTTTGGTGAGTATTTTTAGTATTCAGCAAATTGTTGAAACTATGGACTCTAAAGAACTATGGAGTTATGATAATCAGAATTTGTATCCTAGTATATATGAATTTCGGTTACTGTCACTGAGTGACTTGGCAGTCATGGTTAAGTCGATAGACATCACCTCTAACTTGTGGTCACGTTATCTTAAATTTTAGAAATACTTCTCTTAGATCATCAAAAATTCCAATGCCAAAAGTTAATAATACTATTAAGGCGGATGAATTTAGACCTTAAATATACTTCCGCCCATTGAGTAATTATTAGAATTGGCAGTATAATATGACCAAGTCATGGATCACATAGATAAAAATAAAATTTTAATGAATACCCAGTCAGGTTTTCGTAAAAAGTATTCATGTGAAACTGGACTGCAACTTTCACTTTGCAAATTCAGGTCTGAATTGGACAAAGATAATTATGTAGTAGTAGTATTCATTGATTTAAAAAGAGCGTTTGAAACTATTGATTGTAATATACTTCTCACTAAATTAGAAGGCTATGGTATTGGAGGAAATGTTCTTGAATGGTTTAAAGATTACTTATTAGATAGAAAGCAACAAGTGAGGATTGATGATATTACTTATTTTGCAATTAGTGTTAATATTGGGATACCTCAAGGTAGTGTCTTAGCTTTTGTTTATATTGAATTTAAATGATATAAACTTGTTAAATGTGATTTCTTTAATTTGTGTGCAGATGACACCCTACTTGAATGTATTTAAATCTGAGTACAAATAAATAGAAAAACTAAAGTTTCAAAACTACCTAATCATCTTGTATTTATAGATCTAGAAAAAGCTTGAGATACTGTGCCCTTGAAGAAGCTATGTTTTGACAAAGGCTAACCTAGTCTACTAGCTAACCTAGTAAAGTCTAGTAAAGTGTATGTTTGAGCAATTTATAATATATATATATATATATATATATATATATATATATATATATATATATATACATATATATATATATATATATATATATATATATATATATATATATATATATATATAATATATATATATATATATATATATATATATATATATATATATATATATATATATAAAGAGACACAAAGTACAATACAAAGACAGACCAAAAAGTTCCGGAATCATTCAAGCTGACAAAGGGTGTTAAACAGTGGTATTGCTTATCGCATATTCCATTAAAAATATACATACAAGAAGCACTGGAAGGCTGGAGAAGAAAGTTTACAGAAATGGGGATAAACATTGAATATCACTGCTTGACAACACTATAATTTGCATACGGTCAGGTTATTATTGCCAACTGTAAAGAGGATATTAATTATATGCTATGAAAGCTTAAAGAAAAGTGTTTAAATATAAATGTACAAAAAACATCTAAGTATCTAAGAATAGGGTGACAACAATAGAACTCAGACCTACAATTAATACATATAAATATTTAGGCAGCATAATATCAACTCAAGAAACATCAGAAAGAGGCATGTAAAATAAAATATAGCACAAAATGTACAAGAATATTCAAATGTGTTAAAAACAAAAGAAAAGTGAATGCTACTGAAATGAATAAGAAGAACTCTAAAGCGTTCAGAACTGAACATGTACCTAATAAAGAAATTAAAAGATGCACAAATAGTATTCACTAAACATAAGAACAGATAGAAACAAGACAATTAATATGACATGGGCATGCAAAGAGGATTTGAGGATATGTGCCATTTCAGAGTGTAACTTAAATGAATTTGTGAGTATTCTCAATATTTAGGTATATTTAGTACAGCTATTTTGTTTCTTTTTATTCCTTTTACAATTTCTGATTTAAAAATCATTAAAATATGTCAATTTTTGACATTTTATTCAATGACAATATTTACTAAAAAGGGCCTTCACATGTCCCCTTTTGGTTAACATAAAATCCAATATTTCAGTCATATAAAAAAGCAAAATAATGTTGTATTGTAGATAAAAATGAATGTGGATTGTACAAAAATATTCAAATTCATGTGTACAGTCTTAATTTGGGTATTTTAATTAGCAACAGACAAAACTCTGACAAAACAGTATAAATCCACAGTATCCAATTTTTTGGGAATGAAAAGAATACAATTTTCAAAAAGGCAATCACATCAAACTCAATGCTATTGGTTAGAGGCTGAACAGAATTATTACGATTTTACTTCCATAATGAGATAATTAAAATTATCTCATTTATGGAAGCTATTCAGAAAAATTATAACAAACTGACTAACACTTAAGTAGTGCCTTTACTAGTTATGCAGAAGGATTTTAATAGAAAATGCGAATATAATGCACATATTCACTATGCATTCATATACTTTCAGGTTTTGGAAATAAAAGTTAGAACCCATCATAAAATAAACTCTATGAAAAATGGAAAGCATTGATGTATTCTAATCATTGCCCCCAAAAATATATGAAAAACCAACTTTCTTTTGACTTCCTGCCTCACCTGGTTGATTTTCCACTGGTTCATTCTTTAAATGTTGAAGATCTGTTGATGTGGATAGATGATTCTCTATATATTTTTGGCCATATTCTGCAAACTCTTCCTCCTTTTCAACTTTAACTTCCATAGCTAATAAACAAATTTAATGAAAATTGAAAAATTTATTATTTATTTTTATCACTCCTCATCTCACCTGGGTAACTATCCACTGGTTCATTTTTTAAGACTTCGAGATCTACTGATGTCGATAGAGAATATTCAGGAACCTCTTTCTTAATTTCACTCTTAACTTCCATAGCTAATAAACGAATTTACAATAGCAAATGGAAACCAACAAATTGTAAGTACAGTGTGTGCATCAGTGTGTGTAAGCAAAGCAAGCACGTGAAATAGTAAAAAAGTAAAAAGTAAAGGGGCAAAGTAATAACAAAGAATATAGACGCTTAGCTTCTTTGGTAATAACAAAGTCAGAATAAGCAAGGGACTATAGACTATACGAACGACTATACCCATCGAGCAAAAAGACAATAGTGGGAATGTAAAGGTAGTGGAGGCAAACATATTGTTAGACAGGAAGTGCGATCTTTAGAGGCCACATTAAACAAGGAAATAGAGTCTCCCTCCTTGTTTGACATCAAATTTAGTTGGGTTATGTTATTTTTTGTCCTAAATGTCACATGAAATCTTATTTATATTGAAGTTTTTTAACAATTGTGTCGCATTTTAGACTCTTATCATTAATAATTAATTAAAACTTTCTCGTCTAAGACACATTCTGAAAAATATTATATAGCTACTGTTGATAAGTGTCGGAAAATTTAAATTTCGCGCATTCGCATTTCCGAATATGTCCGCCATCAGAGGCCACTTTTTTGGTCTCTTTTTCATAAGGATTAGATTCCCTCTTTTGTCTTATTGCTCGATGCCAAGGCCAAATCATGTTCGGATTTGGCGCCCATTCGTATGGTGGCGCTGCTAGTCTCATTCCTGCGCGGAGGTAGTGTGCTGTGGAAGTGGAAAATTCAAAGTTGAGTTTAGTTGTTTAGTTAGACAAATACGGCGCCATATTTGTATTTGTTTTATCTTTTATAATTTATTTTATAATTTAAAATTTTTTATATCAGTGGTGCAAAAAGGTACAATTTTAGACGATTTTTTATTATGGACTCGAACACATTACATGGAATAACAATGTAGAGACGAAGAACTGAACAAAAAAGATGTGTTTCAGATTGCATGGATACTACTGGCAAACAATATAGTTTTTCTTATATGGATATGTTTGATAAATGGGGGAATGTTGTTAAGAGCCCTAATATAGAATGCTGCAACAGAAACTATAACAATTTTCGTGTATGCGCTAGTCATTTTAAAGAGGACGATATAATTAATGTTGGACATACCAGTATTACGAGAACAGCCTTTCTGAGTTTGTTTTTACCAACACCAGATAAGAACTATTATGCTAATATAGTATGTGACCTTTTACTTATAAAATTAGTTAATTATAAATTTAACCTAAAATTATGTATTATAAAATCAGTCTTACTTGCTTACTATTTGAATTATTTTGTAGGTGGTGGTTCAACAACTATCTTAAAAATCATCACAGTAGAGAGGGTTCGACATAATTTCTACAGGTGTGCGCCTTTCAAAGTTGGATTAGATTAGCAGACCATGACTACACTATCATATGGAAAGGTATATGAGCTTGCCTGTTAAGTGCGAGGAGGGATCTGTCTGTGAGTGAGATTGGTCTTAGAGTACCATATTACCATGGTTTGTCTCATCTATGTACTTTTAATGTTCCATTTTGTAGAACAACCTAAATCTAAATGTATTTAATATGTCTCTCAATAAATATATAAATATTAGTAGAAAAGAGTTACTGGTAACAGAGTTTGGAAACATAACTTTGTAAAATACTTCATGTTTTTATTGTAACTAGGTAATACTTTACATATTTTTTTATTTTTAATGTTATTTTTCCATCTTTATAGTGCTGGATCTTAGAATCTCAGAGCTAACTGTTGGGTTTATAGGTTTAAATATGACTAAAATATTATCATATAAATGTATATAAAGTTCTTTCTACAACTAAATCATTTAATTTTTCTGTTTCCACGTTAGCAGAGTTCTTGAGTTCTGTCTTTCTGTGAGTAGAACGCCAGACAGTAAGAGTTCTCGCTGACCACTGGTAGTGTGTGTTATTAGATTAGGATGTAAGTACTACAAAGAACTCAGAATGTCTGACGGTTGTCTGTTGCTTATTGGGCTTTAATTATTAGAATTCCACAAAAATTATTTAATTACTGACAAGTTCTTGTCACAACATTTAGAACACTAAATTATAGTACATTTACCCGTCCCTATTTGTGAACAAAAGATTGCAACTATCTTGGTTTATTTTTAGCTCCAGCTGATTTACAGCTAGATTGAAAATCTGAATTTTCCAATCTTGGTTCATAATTATCATCAGGTTTTTGAACAGGTAAATTTTCTGTCACATCTGGCATTGATTTAGTAATGGAATTCTCTAATGTGTTATTTGGACTTCATCTTCATCATTAGTGTGATTCAATAATATAACAATTCAATAGTAAACTTCTTATATAGTACAGAGCTCCTGGTACAGCAGTTTTTCATTTAGTTATGTCTAAATATTTGGTTTTCAATGCTAGATTCACCAATTTCTATATAACTCATTGTATCTTTCAACTTAACCATTTCCTTCATGGTTATATGGTGTTGTTCTACTTGAAATATTCCTTTAGAGTGTAGATAATTAATAAATTCTTGTGAAGTAAAGCTAGTTCTCCTTGTCAGATTTTATATATGCCAGCATTCTATATAAACAAAATAGTGATTTAATCTGTGATTGGTTTGAATTGCTTTCCTACCAGATAATGCCTGCAATTTTTTAATACTTCAACGCATTTGCATGTTTTCATTCTGAATCTGTGAGAGTATGTGTGAAAAAAGCAATTGGTTTTCCCCACTGATTGCTTGGCTTATGTAATTATAGACTAAATTTATTACAAGCATGCACTTATCTTTGTCTTCTAGGGATTTATCTTTAGATTCATTGCCTTCTAAAAAAATCTTGAATGTTATATACCACTGTTTGAAATCTTTGCGAATTATGAGAATAAAATTGTAGTAAAAGGCCTTTTGCAGAATTAGGCTTCTATTTACATAAAACTTAACATACTAAGACAAAACAATTATTTAAATACTGACCAGTTCTTGCCACAACATTAAGAAAACTAAATTATAGTACACTTGGCTTGTATTATTAATATTTCTTGTAACACACTTGGCTTGTATTATTAACATTTCTTGTAACACATATAACATTTCTTGTAATATTTTTATAAATAAAGATTTTATTCTATATTTTATTCTTTAATTTTTTTAACCACTTTGGCATTTTAATGTAATGTAAAATAAATATAGTCTCAACATAACAAGAAAACTCAAAAAGTATACGAAAAATATTTATTATCGTATAAGATAAGGATTTTTCTTGTTATTTTAGGATTATATCGATTTTCTTTTACTTTAAAATGAGTTCACAATCCTAAGTAATATTACTAAACTTTTGAATTTCGCGCCATATATATATAGTTAGGCGCCCGGTCACTAGGTGATGCGCCAATCATTGTTTTACTCGTCAACACGGAAGTTTCATTGCTAGGTGGTAGTGTGCTATGGGGTATATGTCACCCATACGACACTTTTAAAATTGCCATGAGCTTCAATGCTAATAAAAGGTTCAAAAACTTAGGTTTTGCAATATATTTTGGGATTTTCTTGGGTATAAGGATGTTAAGTGGTTCTTACATTAGTAATTATATCAATTTTTTTTAAATCAATAGTCTGATGAAAAAAATTGAATTGATAATATTGTGTGTTTTAAATGGAGATAACAGTTTATTTCGCACAAAAACCCAAAAAAACAGTAGAAAAAGTACAAAGGCAAAAATACTAAATATTTAGGAGCTTACTTATTATCTTTTTCCTGGAATTTGCAGCATTCTTATCATATCTAGTGGTAGGCAAAAAAAACAAATAGGTAATATAAATAATTTATTATTAGATTAAAATACAAAAAATGATTAGTCCTTCAAGCACAAATCTTCAGGCTATATATACTTATATATTTATTTAATGAGTTTGTTATTTCATGACCGTGAATTTTTAAACATTAGAAACTATTTTTAATAAGACAACAATAAATGTGAACTTAACTCAGAAGTGCAGACAACTGTCCATCAACATCAACTGTCAAATTTGACTTTGTCGTATGAGAGTGACGTAAGCATTCTGCCTTCCCCTCGCTTCGCCCGCCACGTAGTTACGTGACGTGACAACCTACTTGACCAGATCAGTCAGCTATCAGCTATCTACATCAACTTTTGTAGGATAAAGAATATATTGTATTCAACTGATCCTGGGGACTTAAAGAATGGACCAGAAGGAAACTCAGGTATCCACCTCCCTTGATCTGAGAGACTTTAAGAATGAACCAGATGACTATAACTCAGGTAACATAAGTAATAATTATTAGTACTAAAAACTTTAATGAAATTAAAATTTTTTTAGATAGGGCTATAAGATCTGAAATTAAGGAAGAGTTTTTTGAAGATGATCCAAGATATATAGAGAGTCAGCTATCCACCTCTCTTGATCTTGAAGACTTAAAGATCGAAGATACCTCAGGTGAGATAAATAATAAAAAAATGCAGAGGAACTTATGTTTATAGCATTGAGGTATTTCATATATCAAAACCTGATTTTTCTTTATGTGTCTTAGTATGACGTTTTCATTTGTTCCTTTTATGAAACTTTAAGTTGTTGGATACTCGTATAGGGATATGCATTAGGAATATGAAATATTGAAATGTAAATCAGGAAATTCTGCTTCAGATAGAAATTAATGTTAAGTGTTTCCATAATCATGATACTATAACGAATACATAAGATAGACTTGTAGACACAATTTGCCAAGACTTGCATCATGTTACTTATTACTTTATTTTGAAATTTTGGGTAATGATTAGTTTAGAGCAATCAACATAACCAAAAATATTTTCCTCTAGGTAGGGCGTCACAGTGTTGCCATATTTAATACATTTTGTTTTAAATTAAATTGTATAACTTTGTGATTTTTAAAAAGTTTAATACATTTTGATAGTTGCTGCTGTTGAGATAAGTATATCTTTTAGGTTGTTACCAAGATTGTATTTTCTTTTGGCCTCTAGGTAGTGTTGGCAGTCACAAAGTACATGTGTTA